CCTCTGCCTCCCCATCCGCTTCTCCTTTGCTCTCTCTTGCTTTTTTATCTCCTCCTTCCTCCCCAGCTTCCTGACTTCCCCAGGTTGCTGTGCCCGTGGCTTTCCCCCCTTCTGTGCTCCGCAGTGATTGTATTAGGCTTGGGCAAGTGGGGTGGTGGTGGTGGAGAGAGTATCAGAAACTGATTCTGCCTTGAAAAATGGCCCCGCTGGGACTCCCTGATTATTGTTGCTCTCTCTTGCTTTTTTATCTCCTCCTTCCTCCCCAGCTTCCTGACTTCCCCAGGTTGCTGTGCCCGTGGCTTTCCCCCCTTCTGTGCTCCGCAGTGATTGTATTAGGCTTGGGCAAGTGGGGTGGTGGTGGTGGAGAGAGTATCAGAAACTGATTCTGCCTTGAAAAATGGCCCCGCTGGGACTCCCTGATTATTGTCTCTTAATGATTCCTAGGTAACAAGAGTTGAGCTTACATGCAGCAAAACCATAAGTTTTGTAACCACTGCTCCTGCAGCCACAATCTGGGATCTTATGAGGGTCAAGTTGAGGCTTCCCTATCTCCATCAGAACTGGCCCTGCAGGCCCAGTTCTGCCCTCTGGAACACCTGTGTAGCCGTACTGAAGGCTAATTAGATTGCCCAAGTGGCACTGAAGTCAAAAGTTGATCTGTTGAATCTCATCTCATGAGTGCTGTTGATGCATAAGAAAGGGAAAAAACCAGCTGCGTTCCCAGATTGTGGTGCAGCGCATTATAAATTACTCTGCTATATAGGGAGCTGCAAATTGCTATTATTACATAGACACCTTCCAAAATATAGCATGAATGTAAAAACAAAGCTTTTGTTATGGGTTGTAAATAAATCCTGAAATTGTTAAAAAATCAGGATTTATTAACAATCTATTTAATGTCACTGTTTTAAAAATTTTTTACTCTTGCGCAGTGAAAAATATCATTTTCACTTTCTGATCCTCGTGCAATTAGTCAGCGGTGTTTTGTTTGGGTTGCAAATATTGCAAAGGAAAGTTACTATTTAAAAATATTATTTCCGTTCTTCTTCTTCTTAAACTCTTGTACTCCCAGTAGAGTGTAGGTCATCTACAAGTCTCCTCTACTTCACTCTGTCTTGAGACAAAACTTCTGTCTGACTCCAGGAGTATCCCAGTTGTCCTTCAAGCTCAGTAGATCTTCTTCACGTTGTCCGAGGTGTTTCCATTGGGAGAGGGAAATTCATGGAAATGGGTCTGTTGCTCTAACTCGGTTTTACAGAACCTAATTTTGGTGTAAGACTTGACCCCCAGCTTCCTTTTAAGGAAGAATAATATGCATTAGAAATTGAGAGAAGTGGTTGATCTGCTTTCTGTGGAAAGAAAATGAATTGATGTTCATGTAGTACACAGGAAATAAGTTAGACAAAGCTTGATGTTTAATCTTGTTCTTGAAGTTTCTTTTATGGAATTTGTCAAGCTTATGCTATGAACTGTGCCCAAAATGCAGGTCTGACATAAGTGGACACAACTCCCACTGACACTGCTGTTAAATGGCTGTCTCTTCTGTTTCTTAAGACAAACTCCACTGTTGGGTATAATGGTATGCTTTACTGCAGAGTAATCAGATTATTTTTTGTCAAGGTCCAAATTTCTTGGTTAAGGTCCAGACTCCAAAAAATGTTTTTCACACCTCAATAACAGTAATGATAATAAGTAAATAAAAAGATGGTTCATTCAAAAGCAACTGGTGGTCTGGATTTGGCCCAGAGCTGTCCACATGCTGTTACTGCCATCTGAAACACTTTTTTTAAATTTTACTGCACTATGGTAAATCTCCATTTCAGCTTAAAATGTATCTTGTATCTCTTACCTGAACCTCTTTATTTCTCTTACTGTTTATATGGAGACATTTAAGTTAAATGTGAGCAAAAATAGAATTTGTAAAAATGAAATATTTTTTTTAATATACTGCTTCCAGTACATTTTTAGGAATTAAATATTTCCCTGCATTATTTGTGACCCAAACATTTAAGTAACGAGAAGTTGCAAGAGGGAGCAAGAGTAAACAAAAGTGGAATTGTTAAGCAGCATAAATAGTGAATTCGATTCTTCAAGATTTATTTATCTCAGTTGTTAGTTGCATAGGCAAAAATAATGGAAACAAATAAGGATTTTTTTTACCTTAAGTGTCCATTTACTTCTGTAAAGTTTTTTGGGATTTCAGTTTGTGTGAAAGGCCTGATACAAAAATGAAGTTTCTCTGTACTCTACGTGGTCTCCAGTTTTGGTGGCCTTCAGGTATAGAACAGTGTCCTGAAAGCAAGAACTCAATTTCGGGATAAAAGGCAGTGAGACTCTGCTTACAAGTCAAGGCCTGAGACGCCTCTCACAGTAGAATCTGCTGATGTTCAAAATAGGTGGTTTGACTCTTCATATCGAGGCTTGGATACATTGCTCATAGCAAAAATAGACATCCCAGCACCTGCAGTCATGTAATGAATTCAAAATCTAAGCTGGCTTCTGAAAAATTGTTACTAGTCCTTGTGAGCCTGAAGAAAAGATTGATAACATGGATGGAGCCTAACTGTCATGGGGTCTGCCTGCATTTGCAGAGAGCTTTCAGAAGGAGAAGCAGGGGATCCCCACAAATTAGACTAAGTTCCTGTTGCTCTGGGGAAGGGAAACTTGGCTTGAGTTCTGTGCACCTGGAGTATCCCGTGGGCTCCTCTGGGCTTTTGGTGTCTCTAAAAAACAAAAAACCAACCCCTCATGACACCAAACCAAGCAGATTTAATTCTGTGTAGCTCTTTCATCTCCTTTTTTTGTTTTCTTCTTTTGATCAGCAGTAGATTCGTTAATAATATTGACATATCACCACTGGGCTCTTAAATTGATGCCTCATTAAGAAGACTCAAATAGCTCAGACCTCTGAATGATTTTCAGGCTTTATGCAAAGTCAGCCAGGTTGTTGCATCTATTACAGTCATTTCACATTTTGAAAACTTTCTTCACAATTTTGAAAGCAAAATACTTTTGAAGGTGAAAGTTCAGATTCTGGAGAACAAGATGTCTGACAGAAAAAAAAAATCTGGGTTTCTGACCTCGCTTGACCTGCCTTAACTTGAACCCTGCTGAAGGCATTCTGAAGGGCTGCTTGCTTATGTTCAAAGTTTTGTACTCTCTGCAATGGCCATCAAAATCACAGTATCATTAAGAATATTGTGGTGGGTTCTGTGTCTTTAATTGTGGATGATTTCCCTGCTTCTATAGCACTATCCTTAGTACTGAGGAATCAGGTCTGGTAGTCAGTAAAAGAGCGGAGCTGCAAACAGCTGCAGCAAAAATAGCTTTTCTGGAGAGATGCAGCTGGACTGCAAGAACACCTATAGCAGTAATGTCATGCATTTGCAGTGTTTTAGGGGATTTGTTCTATAGTAGAGCAACAAGATAGCTTCTGTTTAGAAACTTTAAATCACCCTGTATGTACAGGAAAAAAAGTATTATCGGGAAATGTCATTCCAAGTGTGAATCCCTGCACTGTTGCAGGCAAGGGAGGGCATGAAAGGGAGTAGGTGTTTGCCTTCAAATGTATAGAGCCTGGCATATCCATTTTATATTTGTGGATAAAACTTTTGTATCTGGAG